GAGACCCTTGACGAGCACCAGTTGGGAGGGCCTAGATAGCCAGTCGCACCACTCGAGCCCAACAGTACTCGCTGTCGAAAGCCTCAGGCCAATGAAAAGGGATCCTATGCCACAGCAAACGCCCCACTCCACCTTTGACTAGACCCCTGAATTCGCAAGGAGAGTATTCATACAAAGATATGTGTTCAGTAGTATCGGTACTGAGCATGAGAGGCGACACCATATTCCACCCAATCCTACGCAGAGACAGGATAACAGCCGAGATCGGGCCAAAGCATTGCCTCCGAAGCCCTGGGCGCCCAGCTTAGCCATGATGGCACTCCACGCCGTTCTGAGCATACTGGGAGAGGTGCGACTGACCCAAACACAGCTGGCATATCTGGCTACGGTCAGACGAGTGACATCACAAACTGAGTCATGCATCCTGTCTTGTTGGGTGCACGTGTAAACAGTGAGGGAGGCTACGCCTTTTCTGGCCCCCGCCAGCTCACCAGCAGAAGGCCTCAGCTGCATTAGCAAGGGCGCCCTCGAGGGCGCGAAGTTATTGGCGCTTCGCGCTTCGTGATTCGGTTTCTATTCCTCCTCTTCTCCCCTGGGGGGCGCCGCGAGAGCGCGAAGTTATTCGCACTTCGCGCTTCGCGCAGCACGAAGCGCGAAGTTGGGAGCCCTTGATTCGAGTCGCACCTGTAAGACCTACAACACCCGCCCCATGGCCCGCGGACGGTAAAACACCAGTGCGCGACACAGAGGACGAACTTCAAGCCGCTGGCCCTCGAGTGCCCTGAGCCTTCCTCGTCTACCCAGGACCGCCCCAAGACGTTTGCGCCCAATGTCAAGTCAGGCCTGTCCTTCTACAGGAGGAATCTTCAAAAATAGTCAAACAATTATTCACTGCGTGGAGCTCCCCATATGTGCATCTACTCGCATGGACCTGTCCGCCGTGAATGTCTAGGCGCATGAGCTTTCGAATATTAACGGGCTTCAGTTGTGACGGTCTGGACATCAATCTAACTGCGAATGAATTGGAGTGTGAATGAGCCTCAGTAGTACGAGCGCGTCTCTGTGCATGAGCCTGGGGCCTCCTGGGGCCTCCTGAAACCTACTGGGGCTTCCTGGGGTCTCCAGGAGCCTCTTGGGACCTCCTGGGACCTCCTAGGAAGGTTTCGTGCCCCAGGGGAGGCGCAATCTATAGCAACAGACGTACATAAAACATGGCGGATTAGAGCCACAGGAGAAGGCAAAATATAGGAACACGCGTAAAACACCAAGGACTCGTGCCCCAGGAGAGGCCCAATACATAGGAACATGAGTAAAACATTTAGGATTGTGTACACAGGAGAAGGACCATCTATAGAAACATACGTAGAACATCAAAGAATCGTGCTCCAGGTGAGGCCCAATCGATAGGAGCATACGTAAAACACATGGGATTGGAGCCACTCCTGTTGCCTTCTGAGGCCTCCTGCTCCTGGGGCCTCTCGGGGCCTCCTGTTGCCTTCCGAGGCCTCCTGGCGCTTCCTGTTGTCTCCTGGGGTCTCCTGTGGTTTCCTGAGGCCTTCTGGAGCTTCCTGGGGCCTCCTGGAGCCTCTTGGGACATCCTGTGGCCTCTTGAGTCTTTCTGTGGCCTCCTGATGCCTCCTGGGACCTCATGTGGTCTCCTGGAGCCTCCTGGAGCCTGTTGGAGCCTCCTGTGGCATCCTGAGAAGAATCTGCGCCCACGAGCCTGGCCACCAAAACTAGCAAACCGATCGAGACATCCTCAAAATCTGGCCCACCTGGGGGGTGAAAATGAGCGCCTCGCTCGAGTCATCCTCCAAATCTGCTCCAAGCGAAGGATGTTGGGCCAGCTGGCCGCCTGAGACATCCAACAATGGCGCGAACGAGCCCGTGCAACCCAACCTTAGGGTGCTGAGCGCCTCGCTCGAGACATCCTCCAAATCTGCTCCGAAGCGAATGATGTTGGGCACAGAAACAGGCAAACCGCCTGAGACATCCCCACAAAATGGCCGCGAACGAGCCCGTGCAACCACCCCTGGCGGCTCCCCTTAGGGGTGCTGAAATGAGCGCCTCGCTCGAGACATCCTCCAAATCTGCTCCGCAAGCGAAGGATGTTGGGCACAGAAACAGGCAAACCGCCTGAGACATCCCCACAAAATGGCCGCGAACGAACCCGTGCAACCACCCCTGGCGGCTCCCCTTAGGGGTGCTGAGTATGAGTAAGTCTGTGTATGAGTAAGTCTGTGTATGTGTACGTCGGGGTATGACTAATACTGAGTATGAGTAAGTCTGTGTATGAGTAAGTCTGTATATGAGTATGTCTGAGTGTGAGTAAGTCTGAGTATGAGTAGGTCTGAGTATGAGTAAGTCTGAGTATGAGTAAGTCTGTGTATGAGCAAGTCTGAATATGTCCGACAGGAGGGGAGGAGAAAAGAGGAGGAGGAAGGAGGAGGAGTAGGAGGCGTCCAAGTAATAACAAGAACCCCATCTTAGGATATGGGGAATAATCTGGAGACGATTTGTTTGACAAAGTTTGAATGTTGTTGTGCATTTTTGGGTGTATCTTTTATTTCTCGTCTAAAATTCGCCTGTAGGGGGACGTACCCGACCTGAGCCCAGTGCTTCTGTGCGCAACACCTCCAGCAAATGTGTCATGGCCTAAGTTGCGGGCACACTTAAATGATTTGAGGTTAAGCTGACACGCTCGAGCTCGCTGCGGTTCCTGCCCTCCCACTCCGCCCGCACAGGCCCCCGAACCCTCCCCCACACCCTAACCAGATAATACATCTGGGCTATGGGGCGATGCTCGCTAGGCTGGTCTGGCTTCGGCAATCCGACCAGCTCGGTGGCCACGCGACTCTGCGGCCAGCACCCTAGCATCTCGCACCGCAAAGAAAGAAGGGCTACAGTCTGGAGCGATGCGTCAGTGAGATGCCACAGGCTGCAAGATGCAAGCCGGCCTGTACCCACAGCTGGGGTGGCCGAACATTTGCGCACAGCCGACCGCACCTCCTGATGAGTGATGGGCGGCAGCTCAAGGCCAATTGTTAGCGCCAAGTGGCAAGTCCAGCCTACTGCACCGGTGCTTGGCCCATATGGTCGCCCAATCGTATGAACAATCATCGTTCATTTCTCAGCCACGCGCAGGGGGGGTGGGGGGAGGGGGGAGGGCTTCTTAAAGAGCCCCTGCTTCTTAGAAGGCGCGGGCCTTATCTGTAGATGTAAGGCAGGCGCCTTCTAAGAAACAGCCTCCTTCTAAGAAGCCCCCTGTGCGCGCCGCCAATTTTCAAAATGCTCGGGGAAAAGTAGGATGAGGAGGAGGAGGAGGAGGAGGAGGAGGAGGAGGAGGAGGACGACGACGACGAGGAGCGGCGCACGGAGGGCGCGTGAAGAAGGAGGGCGGCGCTCTGGACTGCCGCGGGGGGCACGCTCACTTTTTTCCAGCGCGAATACTGCCCTGCGGCGGAGAGCGGCGCTGAGTGAGGGGGGGGGTGAGGGGGAGGTCACCGCCCACCAAACCACCCCAACCCAACCCGAAGGTGCCTTCCATTTCCAGTTGGGGGGGGGGGCGGGGAACGTTGAGAAAACAAATCTGCAGCCCGTACCCCCCCCCCGAACCCGAAATTCGGGTCTTCGGGTTGGGTTGGGGTGGCCTGGTAGGTAGTCAGGCGCGGCGGGGTCGCGGCCCGCTCCCGCGCCTGCGGCGTCGCTCCCCAGACGCCTCCTCCGGCCTGTCGCCGTGGAGAAGCGACGTCCCGAGGGAGCGGCCTTCCCGAGGTGTCTCACCGCTGCTGGCCCCCCTGGGGGCCCTGCCACGACCAGCCACAGTTTGGGGGCGCTGTGGTCCTCACCCCCCTTGGAGGACCGTCGCTGCATACCGCGCTCGACTGGCCGACCAGACGCCTCGGTGCATACCTCCAGCCCCTCCTCCAGGGGAGGACAAACCAGCAGGACCCGACAAGTGGCGTTCACCAAACGGCCTTGGCGTTTGCTAAACAGCCCTGCCCTGTTCGACTCCTTCTCTGGGTGCATTTACCAAACGGCTTCGCGTGTCGGGGTGGTTCTCATCGGGGTAGATTTTCTGCCCTCTACTCCCGGTGCCGAGGGGCCCCCCTGGTCGGCGATGAGCGGGGCGCCCTTTATTCTAGCAGGCAGGCCGTGCCCTCTCTCGCGCGGACGCCCTGTCCCCTGGGTGGCACGAGCGCCGATGCCCAGGCCCGGTGTCCACCTGCAGCGACGACGGGGACTGCGTGTTCCCCGACGGGTACTGGTCCTCGACCCGCATGGGCTTCTGCGACAGGTGCGACGACTGGAGCAGTGACGCTGACGTCGGCAACTCGAGCTGCACCAACACCTGCGTTGGTATGGTGCCCTACCCGCACGAGGTGGGCCGCCAAGAAGTGGTTTGGCCCGTCCTGCCTCGCGTGATGCGACGACTGACGCTTGCTCGTCGCCATGTGCGAGGCGCTGCCCCCCGACTTCACCTCGCAGTCGTGTCTCGCGTGCAGCGACGACTGACGTCATGCTCGGCCGCCATGCGCCCAAGGCGCAAGGGGATGCCCGCGCCGAATTCACTGGTGCCTCTTCGTATGGACGCTCGATAATCAGAGCGACGCCTTGTTTCGGCTGACGCCTACCAACACAGGCTTGCTGCTGCTGGCCGCGTGCCCGCTCGCGCCTGGCCTGCCCCGAGCTCGCCACGGGGGGCCCCGAGCCCCCGTGGGAGCCACGGCTGCCGTGCGACCGACTTGGCGGGGGGCGCCGTGCCGCCGATACCAAACTTTCCAGCCGCCTCGGCACAGGCGTCCCCGATGGCGGAAACTCTTTTTTTTTTTTTCTCTCTCTCTCTCTCTACATATCGACATATATGTGTATACACATGTATTGTATATATACACATACATACATGAGTGTGTGTGTGTGTGATCTTATACGGGAAGCTGTCCGCTGACAGAGGTGGGGCAAAGACTCGAGGAGGGGAACGGAGGTGCCCCGCGGTCGCCAGGTCGAGGAGGGCTTCCGCTTCCAGCACCTCGTCCCGCGGGCGTCCGGGCTGCCGCGGTCCGGCGAGGCGGCCCCTTCTCTTCCTCCTCCCATCTCGCTCTCTTCGTCCCGGAAGACCAGGGGCGGAGGAGGGGGAGAAGGAGCAGGAGGAGGAGGAGGAGGAGGAGGAGGAGGAGGAGGAGGAGGAGGAGGGGGGAGAATGAGGGAGGAGGAGGGGTCTCTGGAGTCTCTGCCTGATCGCGTAGCGATGTACTCTGCTCGGGACCGCACGGCGCGGTGCCACCTTCCACTCAGAAGGCCTTCGACAGCAGGGGGTGGTTCAACGCGTCGACGCTGAGGAAATGGCTGCACCGAGAGCTGAGAGAAGATCTCTCACCTCACTGCCGCCGTCCTGCTTCGTCGGTGTGTTGCCCTTTGTAGACTCCCATTTCCATTCGTAACGTTGAGTAGGACCGACTCCAACCTGTGTGTGAATCCATCTCCCATTACTGCCTTGTGATGCGGCCGCAAGGTGTGCAACACGTCGCACGAAAGGCTGGGATTTCCATCTCATGGCTCGTGTGATGCATTTATCTTCAAACTCCTTCTGTTCTGCAGCTCGCTCGCGGAGCAACGCTTCCACGTCTGACTCGGTCATTTTTCCACTTCTGTAGCTGACGACGTCGGGCTCGACCTTCGCACCGCGCGTCCGATCCTCGTCGTTGAAGCTGATGGCATTGGGCTCGTGCTTCGTCTCCGCCACTGCCGCCATCCAAGACTTCTCGCATGCACCATACTCGGGTCTGTAGCTGATGACGTCGGGCTTGACCTTCCCGTCATGCGACACAGCCTTGTCGTTGTAGCTGATGGCATTGGGCTCGTGCTTCGTCACTGCCACTGCCGCCATCCAAGACTTCTCGCATGCACCGTCCTCGGGTCTTTAGCTAATGGCGTCGGGCACGACCTTCCCGTCACGCGACACAGCCTCGTCGTTGTAGCTGATGGCATTGGACTCGTACTTCGGCTCCGCCACTGCCCCCGTCCAAGCCTTCTCGCATGCTCCGTCGTTGTAGCTGATGGCATTGGGTTGGTGCTTCGTCTCCGCCACTGCCGCCATCCAAGACTTCTCGCATGCACCGTACTCGGGTCTGTAGCTGATGACGTCGGGCTTGACCTTCCCGTCATGCGACACAGCCTTGTCGCTGTAGCTGATGGCATTGGGCTCGTGCTTCGTCACCGCCACTGCCGCCATCCAAGTCTTCTCGCATGCACCGTCGCTGTAGCTGATGGCATTGGGCTGCTGCTTCGTCTCGGCCACTGCCACCATCCAAGACTTCTCGCATGCACCGTCATCGGGTCTGTAGCTAACGACGTCGGGCTCGACCTTGGCGTCACGCGACGCAAACCCGTCGTTGTAGCTGATGGCATTAGGCTCGTGCTTCGTTTCCGCCACTGCCGCCATCCCAGACTTCACGCATGTGTCGTCTGCGGGTCTGTAGCTGATGACGTCGGAGTCGACCTTTGCGTCAGCTAACACAGCCTCGTCGTTGTAGCTGATGGCATCGGGCTCGTGCTTCGTCACTGCCGCTGCCGCCATTCCAGACTTCTCGCATGTGTCGTCCACGGTTCTGTGGCTGTGGACGTCGGGCACGACCTTCGCGTCGTGCGACACAGTCCCTTCGTTGTAGCTGATGGCATCGGCCTCGTGCTTCGCCTCCGGCTCTGCTCGCTGCTGCCACTGCCATTCTGACCCCCACGTTCTTGCCGTGTCCTGCTGAGGCTCCCACTGTCCATCTTGCTCCCACTCGCTGCTCCCAACGCTGTAGCTGACGACGTTGGGGTCCATATACTGCATCTTGCTGAGCTGCTCCACCTCACGGGTTAGGCGGTGGATGGCTCGCTCAGCCGACCACTGTGCCCATGCCCGCCGGGCTTTGCGCTCCTTCGGGGTGAGCCTTGGGCGCCACTCTCCGGCGCCCATCCCGTAGCACCGTTTGAAACTCCAGTGTTTGTTAACGTCAAAGAACATGCGACAGCTGCGACGAGATCCCCCAAGCACCGCGCGGAGGTCCTGGAGCCGGCCTGGGGCAAGGGAAGCCTGGGCCTGGGTTGCTTGAGTGAGGGAGGAGGAGGGGGAGCGGAGGAGGAGAAGGAGGGTGATTTCCCGTCCGGGGGTGGCTCATATCGGGGGTGGCGTCTCGGGCCGCTTTCCGAGCCCACTGCCGCGGACTTGCGGTCCCTTGCGGCCCCTCGCGGGCTTAGTGGAGCGCTGGCTCGGTCCCCTCGCCTACCCGTTCAGCCTGTCTGGGTTCCGAGGTGGTCCCGCGAGGACTTGCTGAGACGATCCGGCGTCTCGGCGGAGCAGCTCGAAGATTGGAAGCTTGTGGAGCCCGGGTTTCTCTCGGATAACAATTGATCCGTGGTGGACATTTCTCGTCATTTCCTGGGCTGCGTCTGTTTTTCCGTTCAGGCGCCGCTGACGTCGTCGCTCGCCCAGCTCGATACATATATATATATAGATAGTGCGTTTACGGTTGATGTGTGGGCTAAGGGGGCAAGTGCTTGTTGGCCGCATTCGACCGCACGGCAGTTGCTCTGGCTTCGAGGGGCCTTCGAGGAGGGCATGCTTCCTGGGGGCTCGCGTGTTCACGCCCCCACCGCACTGCAGGCCCAGCGGCCTCGGATCTACGGCTGGTGCGAGGGGCGGCTCGCACCCGGGGAGCCTCGCCTTGGCGGAGGCTGGAGGGCTGCCGGAGGTATGCGAGCTCTGCTGCTCGGGCTCGCAAGGCAGGCGGCGCGGGAGGCGCGGCTGGCGCCGTGCGAGCGGGCGCTGCTGCTGGAGCAGGCTCGCCACCTCGGAGCCCAGCTCGGAGCGCTCGCGAGGCTCGAGCCAGATGCCTCCCAAGGCGAAGGGCAAGGCTAAGGCGAAAGGCAAGGCCAAAGCAGCCCCTGGCGGAGGCGGTCGTGGCCGCGGAGGAGGCGCTCCGGGCGATCACCGACGTGTGTGTGCGAGGAGGCGCTGGGCCGGGGGTTGCTGGTGGAGGCGGTGCTCCTGCGCCAGGCGGGCTCCACGCACTTGGCGGAACCGCGGGCCCCCCGCCGGCTGGCGCGGCAGGTGCCCCCGTGGTGCCAGGGTTCGGCGCCCTCCCCGGGCTCCCTGGCGGCCTCGGCGGTCGGGGCCGCGCTGGTGGGCGCGCTCGCCGCGCCTGGCGGCGGTGCTGCTGGCGGCGTGGGGGCCCCGCCTGCTGCCGCGGCGCTCTGGGCTGGCGCGCCCCTCGGAGCGGTTGGAGGCGTCGCCATCCCAGCTGATGCTTTTTTTTTTTGTTCAACCCCAACGTGTTATCCTGCAATGACTGGGGCGGCGACAGCCTGCAGAAAGATCCCTGCCAGAGTTAGGCAGGGATGCAAGGCCAACTGCAGGGATCCTGCAGCTGGAAAAGCATAATACCCACAAGCTCACAACTCAGGAGAAAAAGGCGGCCCTCTCCATGGTCGGGCGGCAGGTCTCGCGGAACCCACAGCCCAGGAACGGGGCCTCCGACGATGACCTCTTCACCTGAATAGTCGTACCCTCCCCTGGCGGTGTTGGGAGATTCCCAAATCGGAGCTAATGTCGACCGCATGCCGCCGTCAAGGCGCCGCCGCCTGCGTACACAGGAGCGGGACGCGGCACCCAAACCTTCCCAAGAGCGCAGCTGCTCCTCGACCACGGAGATGTGCTCAACATCCATGTCCTTCGAGACCTCCACCACGGTGGCATTGTCACCAAGGCCATCTTTACCACAAGGAATAGGAACGACTACATCTTTAGAATCACCACGACAAAAATTGACTCCATCAAGAAACCCATGATGAGCGGCAACTCCAGGCACAAAGGGCGCCGCGCAAGCCCGAAGTGCAGAAAAGGAAGCCGCCACAACACATGGGGGCTTGGCTCCCAAGCGAGGCCCACGTTGCGCAGAGTTGAGCTCGGCAGGCGAGGCGGTGACGATGTCGATCCCCTCGGCAACCGAGTGCAGGGCAACGTTCCGACGAAGGACATCAGTGTGCTCCACGGGCTCGTCCAAGAGCAGTGCCTCCAGCGCAGGCGCCGCGGCCGCCAGCCGAGGGCCCAGCTGGGGGCACCTGTCCGAACCCAGGGAGTAGGCCAGGTCGTAGTACTTCATTTTCCATCCCTCAGTGATGGACCGCACGCTCAGCAGAAGCAGCGGCGGCCTTCTGGGCAGACCGGCGAGCAGCTGAGGAGGAAGCCTTGCCGCCATCGAGGGCAGCACCCCGCGCCATCCGCCGCGCGCTGGAGCGAAGGGCCGCCGATAGGCTTTCGCCAGAAGCGGGCCCTTGAACCAAAGCGCGGGAGCTGACTTGAGCCAAAATGGCTAAGGAGTGCAGCTGGACCCCCTGGCAGACGGCGCCTGGACGCAGGCCTCAGGGCTGGTGGGTGCTGGCTGGGCCCAGGGGATGAACGTGGAGCTGTCGTGCCATGGGCGCCATCAGCGGCGCCGCCCTGTTCGAGGTGGACGAGATCGGTACGCCTGGGGTCGAGGGCCAGTACCTGAGCGCCCAGTTCCGGGGAGCGTCGCTGCCAGCCAAGGCGGTGCGCCTCGACGGCGCCTTCTCTACTCGTGGAGCTGGCCCTGCTGGCTTGCTGCGCCTCTGCGCGCAGGGCCCCGCGCGCTGCGGCATGATCAGAGTTGAGGCCGTGCAGGCTGGGCGCGCCGTCCTGCGCGTCGAGTGGCTGCAGCTTCGGACTGCGCGGGGACTGGCGGAGCCTCGGGTGCGTCCGAGCGCCTTCGGAGGGCGCGGCGGCGGCGGGCCTCGACGGGCCTTGGGGCCGATCCCTGGCGGCGCCGCGCCTGACCGCTTGGCGGCTCGCGCCCTCGCAGGAGAAGGGGCTGGCGCCCGCGGCGTCGTCGGTCGGGGCAGACGGCGGCAGCGCAGCGACTCAGGTAGCCGCAGTGATGGCGACGGCGAGACGCTTTTTCGCGACGCCCCCCCCGTGGCGGCAGCGCGAGGTTGTTGGCGGAGAGGCAGCCCGGCGCCCTCTACGACGAGGCGACGCAGAGCATCGCTCGCGTGATGGGCCTGCGG